TACAGGCGCCACATTTTGATAAATTTTATTACTAACGTAGCCTATGTGTTATAGAGACCGCCTCAATGATAGATATCTTTAATTCTTTAATAAACAGAATGCCTTGGCCATCGGACGGAAACATAATCACATAAGAATAATCTACTATTTTAAATAGTTATTGAACATAACGATTTGAACAGCTAGGTCTGCATACACAAACATAAATAATGCCCTTAGAACGCTAATATTAGGTTTTATTTTATTTACCGTGTGCGTTTTTTTCCACATGTTATGTTTTTCGTGGGATGTCAGTTACATATTAGAGTATGCATTGTTTTTTTACTAGTGTAGGTAATATAATCTTGTTATTGATTTCATTTATCATTTGGTAAGATAAACAATATGCAAAGCTGACAAGGATTAATGTTTGATGTAGGTATGTGTTGACCTTGCTAACGAAATTATTTCATCAATTGTTTCGAAACAACGGCAACAAACGCACACACAGTTTGTGTACATTGTGAGACGATTAAGATCTTTTTGCGATTTGTTTTTTTTTGTTGTATATTTAGGATAATTTAGATATTTAAAATTGAGGTTATCGGGTACCTATTTAACTTTATCTGGAGTTTACTTACGATATGACGAATAATAATCCAACATATCGATACGGGCTGGTCAGTCCTCGAATCCATAGTACCAATTATGTAGGCGCGGTTTTAGTAGAAAATTTCGAGGCACGTTCTCATCATGTGTATTTTAATGGCCGCGCAAAGGCACCTTGACGGCGATTTTATGGTTTTTGTTTTATGTACATGTTTGTCACACTTTATGCTTTAATATGTTTTCTATTACCCTATGTACGGTATAACATATTTAATGTTGCGGTAGGATAAACTGACCGTGCGAGACGCAGTTACGAGGTGACGTCTTATATGCGCATTAGACTAAAAATATCTACCGACTGAGATTTGTTATTGCAAAGTTATATTCGAATGCGAATTGTTACGTAGCATAAATTATTAATTGTTTTCATAACACAAAACTTCTACAAAAGGCAATGTCAGGGTCAAGACGTAAATATATTAACGGCCCTAACTGCAGTAACACGCAACGATCCCGATTCTAAGCCGGTTGCCGTGGGTCGATCTCAATGAGAAAGTCCGACCGGTTCCCGGCTCCCACTAGGTCTACTTTCAAATCACAATAGCTGGCTTATCGCTAAACTTAATAGACAGCTTCTGTGCGCTATTTAATATAGGTTGTTGTATTTTTATATTTTAAAGATGAAAGACCGGCAAGTTTTATTATAAAACAAGTTTACCAAATTATAGAAGTAAAAATAGTAAATACTTAAATAAATTAACAAATAATAATAACATTTATTTCAGATTTTATCTCATTTTAGGGTTTCGTATTTAGATCAATTCGGTCCCTAATATTTTTGCCTTTTCGTCCGTTCTATCTGATATAGAAAATTGGTCAAAATATTTACAAATTTAGTATTTTTCTTAAACAATATCATAATAACAAAAAAATAAAGACGGTCTCCATATGAGTAACTTGTTTTGCTGATAATTTGTTATTTTAATACATACATGTTCCGTAATACGGATCGCTCGGTAATCGATTAAATGTTTTTTATATGCTACAAAATTTGTGGACAGTTTAAAGAAAAAAATTAAGAACATTTTAGATATATTCCTCCATATTCATTTACGTTGATAAATTTTATGCCTATACAAGTATTTACTGGTAAAAAATACCTTATATTAACTTCGCGCCTTGATAAGTGGTAATCATAAAATAATAAATAATTATATTGAAAATATTACTTGTCACTGTAAAAAATAGAATAATTGTCCTTCTATAATTATCTTGTGAGTCACTAATTTGTTCATACAAATAAACAATCATATGTACGACCACTACAGTAGACTCATCATTTGATATAGAAACGCCTCGACACTAACATGTTTATTTTTATTCAGCATTCAAGGCCAGTACCGCCATATTGCATTCACAATGTATCAATTCAAAAAATTTGTAACTCGTAAACAAGGTCGTTTAAATGGTTATATTTGAAAATAAAACTAGATAAACAATATAGGCACTTTATTCGACTGATAAAATCTTAATTCTTATTCTTAGTAGGTGTTTCTGAGTGTAAGTTTTTATCTATTTGGTTATTCTGAGCTTGACGTTCTAAACATTTTAGTTGGGAATATATTGTAATGTTAATTACAGACATAATATTAGCTATTAACAAAGAATTGAATTAAATTAATTACTTGAGTAAGATCGTGAAATAAAATAATTTTACCTAATTAATAAGCTGAAATTTATACAACACTAGGTAGGGAAATTCCTACTTTGTTAAATAACACTCGCCAAAACTCTCAATTAACATAACATTGTATTCTTTGCTATATCTTTATCAAATTTCTTATTAAAACAATAGGTGAGAAACAAAACGAGTAAATAAATAAATGCATTTTCAAAATAGTAAAAACCGGTTATAATATTTGACTTTTCGAAAATATATTTATTTATACAAAACGTCACTTATTTTTTTTTTATTATTTAAACGAATTGCTCAACCTTGCACAAACAATAAAGCATTAAAACTAAATATTATATATATAAGTCAAAAAGTTTTACACGTGTTTTATCCATTATCCTAAAAAACCAAGCCATTACGTTCCCAAGGTTACCCATATTAAGTCAAGCGTACTTCCGTCAGACAGTGCAACGTATTTGTTTTTTAATAAGTGAATATTCTTTAATTTGAAATTCAAAATAATAATCTGTTTAATATACATGTACATGTGTCATGTTCTAAAGACTTGATGTATATTATAATGTGATAATATATCATTTGTGAGTTACATTTTTATACGTCGGAAACGGATATGTACGAATCCGCAGCTGTCATAAAGTAATTGAACACTAGCCACTAGGAGACTTAAATTTTAAATCGACTTTTTTATCTGTAATGTTCGTGTGTATAATTTGAACAATTCAGCAATAAAAAGGAGTCAGTCAGTGACTCAGTAGTAAATTAATAATGTATTTAAAGTATGCAATTTACACGATGTCATTACGTATTGAAATTTTATTACTTTTAAGTTTAACCTATTTTAAAATCCACATTTAACATTAAATAAAACTGCCCCTATATAATCGGCGTTTGTTATCTTAACGCAAATGTAAACACAATGCTATGTTGACACGCCTCAACGAGATATGAGAGCCGGTATCTAATTCGACTGACCTTGGCAATGAAAAAACAAGTTTTTTCGCGCGACCTTGAAGCTTTATTTTGCTTTTTGCACGGCGCCACTGATGTGCTGTGTATAACTATTCGTATAAGAATATTTGTTATTATAATATTCAAAAATATTTTTAAATTAATTTTTCTCTTCAGATATAATCATTTAAGGATTTCGTGTCCAAACTCTTAATACAATACGGAGTAATTGATCGCCCTGTCAGAAGAAATATGTTTCGGGTAACTCGGCAGTAAAGATAAAATTTCTGGTCGCACGGCAACGAATTGCGCTATTAATAACTTGCTTTTGTTCTCAATTTTTATTCTTTGGGACCTACCGTCGTAAAATATTTACGAGAGCGTATTATCTCAAAAGTTTTTAAAATTAATAATATGTATATGATTATCTTTGAATCATTTTTGTAATTTAATATTATGTACATATTATACCAATATATTAAATGACATTCAATTTTTTTTAATATTGCTAAATATTAAGGCGCCACGCTGTCATTTCACAAAACTGCTTTACGAGCTCAACATTTGAAAAGATTTTACAAAAGTTTTTATAGCGTTTAAAGTTAAACAAAAAATATGTTATTGTTAAAGCTAGTAGAATCAAGAATGCAAAGCGCAATTTCAATGACTTCGCTCGAAAGAAAAAAATATTAACAACCTAATTTTTTATAAGTGTTTTTTTTAAATTGTTATTTTTTTTCAATGCATACTTCAAATGAGCTAGAGCATTGTTTTATAAAATATTAGAAATATTAAAATGACAATTTCGTAAACAAAAAATGCGTACTTTAGTGTCCTCTCGGCCACCGACTTCATCGACATAGAATGTGAGCTGGATATTACACCATCTCTGCTGCGTTTGCGATACGAAGGTCTTGCAAAGCCATAAATTATAATATGAAAACAGAAATAGTGAACCAACGGAAATACTATATTTCGATAAAACGTTTATAATTGGACTAATATTATACATACATGTGAAAATGTGTTTGTATGTATGGTTGTTCCCTCCTCCCTTTGGATATTTAGTACACATAGACATGGAATAACACATAGTAAGTAGCCTTTGTGTAGTCTACAATTTGACTGTTTTAAGGTATATATGTGAGTACGCAGATAACATATATGTAACGTGAAAGTATTGCAAAACTATTTTTGTTTTACAATTGCAAGTTCACGTAATATAATAGAAATCGATCGTCATTTCCATATATAAAAAGTTTAACTTCACTAGATGTTCGTAGCTAAAGGCAAACTACGTAATTTGTTTACATCTTAAAAGTTCAAGGGAGGTTTATGTATTAGATAAATCTCAACTTTGATCGTGTGTACTTGAAGAAAAAAAGATTATGTAACATGTTTAGTTAAAATTCAGACAAGTAGGTAAAAAGATTTTTCGTATCATTTTTGATAAGGTATTTTTATAGGTTTATCTTTTATTATTTGTTCATTTAGGTGGACGGATTATATATTTATTTGAAGGTAACTCGATGGAGTTTTATGTACGTAGTAAAAGAACTATAAAATGCAGATCTTTAACTAGAATGTCTTTGTTATCCGTTGGGATTTTATGACTCACTTAAATAGATAGGAACTGTATCCCACTGGAAAAACATTTTTCACACTTTGAATATTAATATTATTGATTTTATTTATCTATAGATACATCAAGATTATTTGATATACTTACTGGTACATCGTAGTTAATGTCTCACCGTTTGTTCAACAGGGCTGGCGCTGGCGCAAATGGAATATTTTCAAGAAGGCTAGATTTCTCCACTTTCAATCTTCTGCCCAAACATAAAGTCAACTCATATCAAATAAAGGTACGTTACTAAATGTATATTTAAAATATTTTGATACTTTTTATGACTATTTTGCGTACAATGACATGGTAAATGACTTCGTGCCACAGTTCTCAGCCATAAATTCATTGTAAGTAAATAATGGCATCCACTTGAACCACTTACTATTGATTGAAGTAGAAAATTAAGATTGGCGGACAAGAAAAACTGCTTCGCACTTTACCTTCTATAAGAATTCACAATATTATAATATATTATATATATATATATATATATATATATATATATATTAATAACTTATTAAAAATATATAATAATTGTAATAAAATTCATTTGCATTCGTTGTTCGTACCTAAATAAATTAATGAAATTTTCTAGGAATCAAGAAAGTTGAGGTTACACTCATTCAAACCAGCCACTTATTTTCAATGACATTTTCCAACAAGAGGTACTAGCGGTGTATTATCTCTTAACTCATTAGTCTCGTCATCTCTTCCACTTAGACCACTTAGAAGGGTATTTCTTTACTGGAGTTTATTTGATTAAATTTAATTTAAAGTGTATGTTTTCATGCAACTAGAATAGAAAATCTAGTGCATCCACTCCAGTCCTCGTGATGTATAGGGTACAGTAAAATATTTTTATTTCTGAAAATATAGAGGTGAAAGTTTGCTTGGGAGTATCGTAAAACACTGGTCTGACACTTTTCAGGATAAAACGCCGTCACGGGAGATGCCCCCGGCCGGTTCGCTTTCTACCAAATAAACGTAACTCTTGTAATTTAATCGCGCCACTAGGTGTTTTACGACTACCTTACCGACTTTTCTACTGAATCTCAATGTTTATTTTAAAGCACGTAGCTACAAAAGTCCACTTTGAATTACATTAGCATTTAAAGCTGCACAGAGCAAATGTTGATTCAAGTTAGTGTATGTTTGGAGTTTGGACACTCATGTCATCATTAGATACTTAGTAGGTACATTGTATATGTAAGGTTTCTTATCGGAATTCAATTTTCCATATAAATACATAAGTTGTACCTAAGTAATAATAACGCAATATTACTAAATTTCTCGCCACGAACACGAAGTACTATACAGTTTGCTATTATAAGGACGAATTGTATGTGTGCATGTATGTATGTGTACATATATGTTTGTATGCGACAGCACTTGGTATCTAATCTCCACAGGCCTTGAGTCCGTTGTATGTCAACCGACGGTCATTCGCCCGCCCGCCGTGCCTGTTTCTATTTTTACTCGCGTTTGTTTGATATTTATTACTGCCCAACGTTTGAAAGTACTTACTTACTTTACCATTGCGGCGATTAAGTTATTGTCTCACGCTTGCACTTAAAGTTGGGACGTCTGAATAATACGTAAGGCTAGACGTTTATTTACGCAAGATAGCTAAAAACTGCTGCTCAGATTTAAAAATTTAAAATCTGTTACAGGATATTTTGTGCTTGAGCTGCAGAATTATTCGTATGTTGGTCGGTTAAATTGGAAAGCGAGTTGATAAATCATTTGTGACATTTCTACCTTTAGGATAATCTACGGCAATAATTTTGAACATTGCTTTATCGCATAAACACGACCAGTATTGTCTTGTAGTTGTTTCGCTTCGCGTCGCGTGACAGCGCCTCGTTTGTATACCACTGGGGAAACTTCATAATTTTGTGTTCTCATATATTAGTATATAGAACTTTATAAAATACCACAGTATATTTACGGTCTTAAATTATGACGCACAAACTGATGGAATTTTCATGCGGCTTACGAAATAGGTTTCAAAAATTCACCTATTTTAAGGCAAAGATTCGATTGAATAGCGTTTTATATTTAATTGGCCACGTTTCATTACTATGTAGAAAATGATTCTTATAAGTACGTGATATTGTCGGGTTCCGATAGAAATTTATCAAAACAATTCATTTTTCGAAGTTAATTTTTTACTGTTACTTATAGTACAGATATTACCTTTCTCGCCACTTTATTAAAATTCACGTTGTATATAAGTGTTTGAAAATTGATGTGTATAGAAAATGAAAGTGGCATGCCATGATTATAGTGTTTACCGCTCTGTCCTCTAACTACCCCATAACAGACAGCGTGAAGACATAAAAAATGTACAAATAGTAAAAGAAATTTAGCTTCAATATGACTGATAATAGCGACAGCCGAACGCGTTTTTGCAAAGCACCATCATTAAAGCTATAGTTACTTTTTCTATGTATGGTGGTCAATGACTACCAGCATATTGATCAGACCGGTTAGCTGTATACGCCAAACTTGGCTCATGAATTCATCGTGTAAGCGGTTTTCACATCGTCCGTACATAAGTTGATATCGACTCACGATAAAACATCTAACCAATACAAGACTACGTCGTTGGGTTACTTCGTTAGAAAGGAAATTATGACGTATGAAATTGATATTTTAAATAATTAAGAAATATTGTAAGGTACTTTGATGCTATTATTGTACAATTAAATTTAAATTAAAAAATACAATACAATTAAATTTAAATTAAAAAATTTAATTAGAAATTAATTAACCTTTAAAGACGTCTAAAACCTAAATCTCTTCCGTTATCACGATTGCTGGAATGCATTCGAAACATCGGGAACCAAAGATCAAATAAATTCGCGAAAAAATCTAAAAACATACTTAATTTTATTTAAAATGTCCAATATAAGTATCAATAAAATTGAGTTTATTATAATAGGTATTATTTCTTAAATTTATAGTTTAGTTAAACTAATAGGTAGGATATTTTCCTATTTCGTATTACAGTAATATATTTGGGAACATTAATTACACTATTATCTATGATTATAAATTTTTGCGACCTTATAATTGATTTATATGGAATAATGCTTGGCTTTAGTGCGATGGGGGCCAGTGTGGTGCGGCGCGGTCGTCCATGTAACTGAATCCGACTGAGTTCGCCGGGCTAGTGGCTACCCGATACGCCGCTCAAGGCTTCCCATGTGGATTAGCAGCGTGTTTTTCTTTTAAATCGTCTTGCCTCAATAATAGCTTTATCAATTTGGCGCTGGCATTATTGGATTGATAATCGGATCTCGTCAAATTGGAAATTTTTCCAAGCGTGTTTTGTGTGAAGCGTAACTGATAGATTAAATTGATTCGTTGTTGCTTATGCACTTCCAAATAAGACAAATAAGAGAAAAAAAAAACAAATTGATATAGGTTTCCATAAAACTAAAATCCATACTAATATTATAAATGTGAAAGTGTGTTTGTTTGTTTGTCTTTCTTTCACGTCGAAACGGCTTGCCGGATTGGCGTGATTTTTTGTGTGGAGATAGTTGGAGGGCTGGAGAGTGACGAAGACTTTTTATCGGGGGAGATTATCTCTTTCCCATGGGAAAACACGTTATAATACAATCCAAAAAAATATTTATGATCAGAATTGCTTGAAAGTTGGTATTAATTCTCTTGAACACAATTTATTAAATACGTGTTTTAACATTTTTTGAAATTCATCCTATAAGGTAAAATAGCGGATGAAAGTTTGTATGAAACATACCATTTTAGAGTTTTTTTGTAGTTTTAGCGGGAGCGAAGCCGCGAGTTCTGCTAGTAGGTATATATGTAAGTACTTACCATGAAAATAAATTTGATGATGATTATCTTTCCAAAACTAATATATTGTTAATATTTTATATTGCTAGTAATATATTTGCTTTATGGAATATTTGTATCATTTACTAAATATGAATTTTCGGAATCCCCCTCGTATTGAAGGAAGGCTCGTGCCCAGCTGTGGGACATTAAAAAGGGCTGAAGACTAAAGTCTAGTCGAATCAATTTACCAAAATTGAAAATTAACGATGAATAATCTTAAATTTTACATTTGTTATGTGAAAAGATAATCGGTACTGTAAATAATTTCGTATCTTATCTTGCGTGTCAAGCACAATCTCGTTTTTTATTGCTACAAATACCTATTACAAATGCATCTTGATTTTCTCAACGACCCGTAAATGGTAAGAAATAAGAAAGTATCCGGCTAATAGATACAATAGGGTTGGTTGGCTGTTAAATCTTGTAGTGCAACTTTCTTGTGCCATAAAAAGTTGCAGTTCGATGATAGCATGACGTGCAATCTCATACTAGTGCAGATATCAATCGTTTCGTAAGACGTCGTTTGACGTAATTGCTTAGGTGACGGTGATACATAAATGCTTAAACTGTACAGACCTTAAAACAGCAAGAATGTCCTACTATTTAACACTGTGGTGCAATCAACTTGCGCATTTTCTTCAAGATAAGTTTTCGACATCGTTTATAGGCACTCTTTAAAAGGCCAACTTAGGAACTTGGCCCAACAACCACTGATTCAACCATTTCGTGTATATCTGGTCAACTTTTTATATAGTTATTGCAAGTACCTATAGACTTGCAGAATGTTATGTCTATAAATGGATATGGCTGTACAGCCGGTTTTTGTTATCATCAGACTGTATTGAATTCAATCTCGATAAGCATACCTTGTTTGCATATTTTACAAGTTTCGTTAAACGTTTCAGAGTAGTAATGAAATTATTCTGCGTTCACGAATCTTCATCAGTGTCAGAAATACTCGTTAGCAGACCTTGTTGCCTTCAGTGGTACACTTTGTTTAATAAATATTTATTATACCAAAATCAACATACAACATATAGTAAATTAAGATACTTATTTACTTACATTAAATATCATTAAATTATTGAAATATTAAATCGCTTATAATTAATTCTGCATTTGCACGTTTTAGGTATTTTGCAAAGAGTATATTTAAAGGCATTGAAAGCGTTCCAGGTGCATTGAGAATTATATTACACTTACGCCATGTTATCCATATATAAGCACGATGATCTCGATTTGCCTAATGTATGCAATCCTACTTATCTAAATTCATTGAGTGTCATGTAAACAAAGTAATCGCACATACTATTTAAAGCTATGCAAGAATAATATTATCAACTCTAGCTATACCGAGTTGTGATTGCATCC